CCTGGGCACAAGCGAGTCTCCTGCCTCCGCCTCCCAAGTAGCTGGGACTACAGGCGCCCACCACAACGCCTGGCCATTTTTTGGTTGCAGTCATCATTGTTGTTTGGCGGGCCCGGGCTGGGGATTCGAACCCGCCACCTTAGGTGTATGTGGCTGACGCCTTAGCCGCTTGAGCCACAGGTGCCGAGCCTCATTTGTTAATTTTTATTGTTGTTGTGATGGCCACTGAAGTCTTTGTCATAAAATTTTTCCCTAGTTCAACATTATCAAGGGTTTTCCCCACATTTTCTTCTAAGATTTTTTTGTATCACATGTTAGATTTAAGTCTTTTATCCATCTTGAATCAATTTTTATAAGAGCCGAAAGGTGATGGTTGAGTTTTTGTGGTTATCAGTGGTCATGTTTCAGTGGATGACATGTGGTTATCTAGTTCTCCCAGCACCATTTGTTGAATAGGGGTTCTTTTCCCCAGTGTATGCTTTTGTTCGGTTTATCAAATATCAGATGACAACTAGAAACTGTTTTCATCTCTTGGTTTTCTGTTCTATTCCATATGTCTATGTCTCTATTTTTGTGCCAGTACCATGCTATTTTGGTTAATGTGTACTTTTAATATAACTTGAAGTCTGGTAGGGTGAAGGCTCCTACTTTGTTTTTATTACTAAGAATAGCCTTACCTATAGGTTTGTTTTTTTTTTTTCCTGATTCTATACAAAGCAAAGTACTGTTTTTTCCAGTTCTTCAAAATATGTTGATACTTTAATTAGTATTACATTGAATCTGTGGATTGTTTTGGGTAGAATAGACATTTTGACAATGTTGATTCTTTCCAGCCAAGAACATGGTATGTTCCTCTATTTGTTAGTGTCTTCTCAGTTTCTTTTTTTAGGGTTTCATGAATCTCTTTGAAAAGATTTTTCACCTCTTTTGTTAGGTATATTCCTAAGTCTTTCATTTTCTTTGAATGTACTGCGAAGGGAACTGTGTCCTTGATTTGCTTCTCAACTTGGCTATTATTGGTGTATACAAAGGCTACTGATTAGTGATTTGTGGACATTGATTTTTTTTTTTTTT